AAAAAAAAAAAAAAAAAACTGAAAATGGGATAATGAAAGCTTTGCCACATGGTGCCACCCGCGCGGATGGCATCGACTAAACCCAAAATAGAATCTTGTCGTTTCAAACAACTGAGACATAGTTTTCACCGGAAACCTCGCGGCGACGTGTACGAGAAGATTCAAAATCTCGAGGATTTCGCCAGTAGGCTCGAGGATGAGATGACAAAGTTAAAGCCTTAAAATGAGAGTAGCTCCGGCGGATTATCACCTTTTCTTTTTTATTTCCTGCCAGGTTGTTTACTGAGGGTTCGAATCCCTCTCTTTCCGTACCTGAACGCTACGCGAGACGTCCAAATCTCGCAGTTGGCAGCAACTCGCGGGTCGAGTCAGGCGGTGGCTGGGGGTTAGTATGGTCAGTTGGTTCATAACGACAAATTCTGAGATACCTTCTAGGGTGCTCCGTCGGCCACGGTGAGCCTTTTTTTTTATCTTACTTTCTCGGTGTTCCCATTAAATTTCTCGACTTGATATCGCCCTTATGCGTTTGCACGATTTCTCGGCCTCTTTTTTCCCGATAGGGTTTTTTCAAGCGTCGTATTTGCGCATGTACAATTAATTGGCATTCAGTGATTTCAAGTTTTTTTTTCTGTTGTTTCGTTGTATGGTATGTGCGAGGTCGATTTCTTCTATTATTGGTCGTTTTTCTTTTAAATTAAACTGGAATTTAAAATAATTTTGGCTAGGGTTCTTTTTTTTTGTGGTGTCTGTGTTTTAGTTTGGCAAGTGACGAAGAGTATTGATTGGTGTTCTTCGCAATAGGAATCTGTGGACATACGGGAAAGTTAAGTTTTCACTCCTTGTTCAGTTTTTGGTGCTGGTGCCCCTTTTTTTTAAAAAAAGATTTATTATCTTCTCAGTTGTTTCCTTTGTCCCCCAATCTATTCATTTGGTTTATGTGTGTTGATTTTTGCATCTTAATACTTAGTGTTCTTATGTGAGGTAATTTTGTTTTTAAAATTCAATGGCCAGATCGTTTGGATGGTGTTAAATCTGTATGGTGTGCAAAGTCGTCCATTAAGTTAGGTTTTAGATTTAAATTAATTTACATTATCTTCAGGTGCTTCATTGATGTCTTATCTTCAACAGTTTTTTTTTTATTTATTTTATTTTATTTTATTTTTAATTTCATAATTACTTATGTAAGGGTTTTTCTAAAATATAGTTGAGTTCTTAATAAATTTTTACCTGACAGTGTTTTTATGGCTGATGTTTAAATTGCCCTAACTATAATCATTTTGTTTTTTTGATTTTTTTATAGGATATTCATATATTCGGTGCCTACAATTCTTGGATATGTTTCCATTTACTCGACATCTTAGAATATATATGGCTATAAGGTAATGAAAGGGACCGTCTTTCTTGCTTTTGTTTAAACTTTGTTGTTGCTTTGGGCATGAATGGATATAGGTAGGGCTGCAAACGAGCCGAGTCGAGTCGAGCATTGGCCTTAACGAGCAGGATTGACTTTTTTTTTTTAGCTGCTCGAGCTCAATTTTTTAGGCTCGAACTCGAGTCGATAAAAAATTACAACAACTCGAGCTCGAGTTGATAAAAAATTACAACAGCTCGAGCTCGGCTCGAAAATTTTTAAATGAAATTGTAATTTACCATTAAGGACCTATGCTAACATATATATAAGGGGTATTTTAGTAATTTAACATGTATCTCGAGCCGCTCGACAAGGCAAAATATGGGGCTCGAGCTCGACTCGAGTTCGGTCAAACTCGAGCTCTAGTCGAGCTTTGACTCGAGCGCTCGCGAGCGGCTAGCGAGCCGCTCGGTTTGTTTGCAGCCCTAGATATAGGCCTACTTAGAAGTTAGAATCTTTTGATAACATACATGCAATATATTTATTTTTATATGCATGCCTTCTTTGAAGCATTACATGCTCTGCTTTAAATGTAAATAGATATCAGCTTTCTAAGCACCTGCTTTATTGCATAAATGCTACATACCATCCTACAGTAATTTATGTGGTTTTATGTCCAAGACATAGTTTGTTCTTTGATAGTTATATGGGTATTCCTCTTATTTACTATTTTTTGTATGTATGAAAGTTTTATCTGTTATGGTAGAAATAAACAAGCCATTGTTTGTTTGCCTTCATTGAGTTGGAGTTGGAGTTTTGTTCGTAGGAGTCAAATTATGAACTACATTTGTTAATCAGCAAATTGTTGTATACTATGTTTTACAAGATATATGTTTATGTGAGTTGTGACACTTTCGGTCAAAACAATCCAAAAGATTGGACGAGGATATACATACAATATATAATTTTTTCAACATATATGCCTCTTTTTACACATTGCATACTGCTCTAAATGCAAATAAATATAAGCTTCTTAAGCAACTGTTTCATGGCTTGTATGCTACATAACATCCTACATTATTTATGTGATTTTACATCCGAGACATAGTTTGTTCATTCATAAATATATCGGTATTCCTGTTTTTTTTTTTTTTTATTATTATTAATTTTTTTTTGGTGTGCATAGGAGTTTGACCTGTCATGGTATAAGTGAACAGGACATTGTTTATTTTCCCCTGTTCAGTTGAGGGTTTTTCACTTGGACTCATTTTATAAACTATATTTAATTAGCTGCAGATTGTTGTTTAATATGTTTTGAAAGATGTTCATGAGTCCTATTATGCAAATTAATATGTTTTCTATGAACTTATTACTTTTCTTAGTGCTATGTAAATATGTCGTAATCGAACTTACATTGTTCATTTGTCGCCATCCAAATTAAAATAAATTAGTTCATTCTTGCTTCATTGATTTGTTTTCAACACTTATTTTTAATTTCATAATAAGTTTATGTGAGGGTCTAACAAATTAATGAAAGGGAGTGTCTTTATTGCTTTTGCTTAAACTTTGTTGTTTCTTTGGGCATGAATGGGTATAGGTCTGCTTTCAATTTTTGGGTAACACTAAACATGCAATATGTATTCTTTTATATGTGTGCCTTTTCTTAAGCACTATGTGCTGCTTTAAATGTAACTAAATATAAGTTTTGCAAGCACATGTTTTCATAGCATATATGCTACATGCCATCCTACACTAATTCATTGTGACTGTATACCAAAGGCATGGTTTGTTCATTGATACTGTATGGTTCTTCCTTTTTTTTTTTTTGTGTGTGTGTGCAAAGTTTTGTTGTAATGGTAAAAATAAACAAGCCATTGTTTGTGTGCCTTCATTCAGTTAAAGTTAAAGTGTTGTTCTTAGGATACAGTTTAAGAAGTCCATTTTTGTTTTTCGATTTTCGTGTTTTTATCTGTTTCGCGGCGTGTTTATTGTATAACAAAAAATAATTTTGTTTCTGGCACGTTGATTGCTAGTCTCCAAGCGCTCCTATTCAATGTCAAATCCTTGGAGATATTCCCTTTACTTATTATATATATTAAAGTAAATTTAGGCTAACATAAAAGTATGCAGTCACAGGTGTAAGTGAAGTGTTACAAAAAAAAAAAAAAAAAATAAAATACTTTCGGTTCTGACTTCTCATGTTAGTTTAGCTCTGATTATATAAAACATTACAACCTTTTTCAGTTCTTTGCTTTCTTGGCTGAAATTATTTGCTCAGGTTGGATTTTCCAAAGGCTGCTCCAAGTCCTTCAAAGAAAAGTCGTCCGAAAATGGACTAACGCCTGTACCAATGCTACATTGAACTTTTAAAAGGCACCAGCGACATGGAACAAACCTTTTGTGTGTGTGTGTGTGTGTGTTTTTTTTTTTTTT